TAGGAAGTTTTTCTTAATCTCCAAGCTAAATTTCCCTTGCTGCAATTTAAGCCCATTGCTTCTTGTCCTGTCCTCAGTGGATAAGGAGAACATTTTATCACCTTCTGCTTTATAACAACCTTTTATGTACTTGAAGATTATCACCATGTCCCCTTTCACTCTTCTCTTCTCCAGACTAAACAAACCCAGTTTTTTTAATCTTTCTTCATAGGTCATGTTATCTAGACCTTTAATCATTTTTGTTGCTTGCCTCTGGACTTTCTCCAATTTCTCCACATACTTCCTGAAATGTGGTGCCCAGAACTGGACACAATACTACAGTTGAGACCTTATCAGCACAGAGTAGAGCAGAAGAATTACTTCTTGTGTCCTGCTTACCACACTCCTGCTAATACATCCAAGGAATTGATTTTTTGCAACAGTGTTACACTGTTGTCTCATATTTAGCTTGTAAGCCACAATGACCCCAAGATCCTTTTCCGCAGCACTCCTTCCTAGACCGTCCTTTCCCATTTTGTATTTGTGCAACTGATTGTTCCTTCCTAATGGAGTACTTTGCTTTCCTCTTTATTGAATTTCATCCTATTTACTTCAGACCATCTCTCCAGTTTTTTCAGATCATTTTTGAATTTTAATCCTATCATTCAAAGCACCTGCAACCCCTCCCAGTTCAGTATCGTCTGCAAACTTTATTTGTGTACTCTCTCTGGCATTAGTTAAATCATTAATGAAGATATTGAAGAAAACCAGAACCAGGACCAATCCCTGAGGGACCCCACTTGATATGCCCTCCTAGCTTGACCGTGAACCACTGATAACTACTCTCTGGGAACGGGTTTCCAACCAGTTATGCACCCACCTTATAATAGCTCCATCTAGGTTGTATTTCCCTCGTTTGTTTATAAGAAGGTCATGAGAGGCAGTATCAAAAGGCTTACTAAAGTCAAGATATATAACATCTACTACTTTCCTGCATCCACAAGTCTTGTTACCCTGTCAAAGAAAGCTATTAGATTGGTTTGATACGATTTGTTCTTGACAAATCCACGCTCATTGTTACTTACCTTATTATTCTCCAGGCATTTGTAAATTGATTGCTTAATTATTTGTGCCATTATCTTTCCAGGTACTGAAGTTAAGGTGACTGGTCTGTCATTCCCAGGTTGTCCTTATTCCCCTTTTTATACATTGGCACTATATTTGCCCTTTTCCAGTCCTCTGAAATCCCATTTTCCTCCCATTTTCCATGATTTTTTGAAGATAATTGCTCATAGCTCAAATATCTTCCCAGTCAGCTCCATGAGTATTCTAGGATGTACTTCATCAGACCCTGGCTACTTGAAGACATCTAACTTGTCTAAGTAATTTTAACTTGTTCTTTGCCTATTTTAGCCTCTGATCCTACCCCATTTTCACTGGCGTTCACTATGTTAGAAGTCCAATCGCAAATACACTTTTTGGAGAAAACTGAAACACCAAAAAGTTACTGTTATTGTCTCCCCCCGCCATTGAGTAACAGGCCTATTCTGTCCCCAGTATTCTTCTTGCTTCTAATATATTTGTGAAATGTTTTCTGGTTACTCTTTATGTCTCTAGCTAGTTTAATCTCATTTCATGCCTGGGCCTTTCTAATTTTATACCTACATGCTTGTGCTGTTTATATCGATCCTTTGTGATTTGACCTAGTTTCCACTTCTTGAGGATTCCTTTTTGAGTTTCAGATAATTAAAGATCTCCTGGTTAAGCCACGGTGGTCTCTTATGTGACAACTTCTCTCCGTCTGAAGCCATTGGAGGCCTTGTACAAGCTTATTTTCTAGTTGCACATCTGTCTTGCCTGTTTCCAATTGCTGCGCTTGAACTCAACAATTTCTGACACTTCAGTTAATTGTTATAGAAACTGAATAGTTTTGTTTGTTTGAAGTATCTAAATGTGCCATTCTCACTCTAAACTTTTGGTGACAGATATTTTTTGTTCTATTCTCTTGAGGAGGACCACGTCTTTGAGTGCTCTGACCAGACCAAAATAAGTATTTTAATAACTCCTGTTTCACCAGGAGGGTGGTGAAGCACTGGAGTGGGTAACCTAGGGAGGTGGTGGAATCTCCATCTGTCAAGGTTCCTTCCCCACTCTGAACTCTAGGGTACAGATGTAGGGACCTGCATGAAAACCTCCTAAGCTTACTTTTACCAGCTTAGGTTAAAACTTCCCCAAAGTACAAACTATTTTACCTTTTGCCCTTGGACTTCCACTGCCACCACCAAACATCTGACCGGGTTTATTTTTGAGAAAGCGTTGTTTGGAAACGTCTTTTCCCCCAAAATCCTCCTAACCCTTGCACCCCACTTCCTGGGGAAGGTTTGGTAAAAATCCTCACCAATTTGCATAGGTGACCATAGACCCAAACCCTTGGATCTCAAGAACAATGAAAAAAGCATTTAGTTCTTACAAGAAGAATTTTAATAGAAGAAACAGTAAAAAAGAATCACCTCTGTAAAATCAGGATGGTAAATACCTTACAGGGTAATTAGATTCAAAACATAGAGAATCCCTCTAGGCAAAACCTTAAGTTACAAAAAGACACAAAGACCGGAATATACATTCCATTCAGCACAGCTTATTTTCTCAGCCATTTAAAGAAATCATAATCTAACGCATATCTAGCTAGATTACTTACTAAGTTCTAAGACTCCATTCCTGTTCTGTCCCTGACAAAAGCATCACACAGACAGACTCTTTGTTTCTCCCTCCCTCCAGCTTTTGAAAGTATCTTGTCCCCTCATTGGTCATTTTGGTCAGGTGCCAGCGAGGTTATCCTAGCTTCTTAACCCTTTACAGGTGAAAGGGTTTTTCCTCTGGCCAGGAGGGATTTAAAGGTGTTTACCCTTCCCTTTATATTTATGACACCATCCTTAGAGGTTTTTAAGGCCCAGCTTGACAAAGCCTTGGCTGGGATGACTTTGTTGGGGATTGGTCCTGCTTTGAGCAGGAGATTGGATTGGATGACCTCCTGAGGTCTCTTCCAACTCTAATATTCTATGATTCTATAGAGGGAATCAAACAGCTGACTCAATATCAGGTCAGACTCCCTCCCTACATTCCTTAACAGTGTTCTTTAAGATGCCCAGCTAATTGTTGGCAGACACATTTGTTTAACTATAAAACTTAACTGATTCATTTAGGGTATTCCAATATTTCTCCTTTTTTTAGTACTCTGGAGAGCCCCAAATATTAGTCGTTCTATCCCACAACTTCTTTGGAAGAATAGTATTTTTCAAAATGAAGCAAAAGGCAGACAGAGCTCTGAAATCTGTTTTTTCCCAGCTTGGGACACGTTTAAATCTGTCAAAATGTACAAGACAATTTTGATTACAGTGGCACAAAATTCCTTCAGGCAAATGTTAAATATCTCTGTCCATGGACCCAGACATAATTTAATCAAAGCTCAAAAGAATGATTTATAAGTGCTGCTTTTTTCAAATGAATTGCAGATGATAGCTTCCTTTTATCCTATAATTAGAATTTAAAAAAGCTTTAGTCTGGAAATCTTTTGTTGTCTCTCTAACCTGTTTTCATCACTTGTTTTTGCTGTGCAGGAGTAAGATGACATCAATAAGAGTTAAGAGTCAAGGACTCCCGGTGGCACTAGACTTTTTCCTGCAACATTTTCTTCAGCATATGGTGTCTCAATGACTTCTCTTGGTAAAGACATATACTAACTGAACTACTCAGATACAAGGCACTTGATGTGGTCATTTTCTGTTAATTTTCATCCTGGTATTTCCAAAGGAGACTTATAAGAAGGAAAAAAATAGGACCTATTTCATATCATATTGAAACCTCTAGTATAGTGGTCCCCAAACTTTTGAGGGTTGTGCTTCCCTGGCATCCCCTGGAGCCAGTGCCAGGAGCTTGGCTGCGGCTTGGGGGTGGGGGGGGGAGAGGAGGAACATGGATGGGGTAAGGGGGCTGAGGCTGGGGCTGCAGTGGCGGGTGGGTCTAGGGCTGGAGCCTTGCCGGGGGCCAAGGCTGGGGTACGAGCAAAGCCACAGGCGGGCCTGTGGCCGGATTTAGCTCTGCTCCCATCCCCGGGCTGGGAATGGAGCTGCAGCTAGGCCCGCAGCTGGGTTTGTCTCTGCTCCCTCCCCAGCCAGGGGCTGAGGGCGGGGCTGGAGTGGCAGCTGGGCCCCCAGCTGGGTGCAGAGCTGCACCAAGGCTGGGGACAGGGTCAGACACAGGGCTGGAAATGGGGGACATGGCTGGGGGTGGGGTCAGAGCAGAACTGGGGGTGGGGCTGGCTGGCACTCCCGCCCCACCCCCGCCACGACCCCCCGAACGCTGCTCTGCACACCCCTAGGGGGGCGTGCCCCACAATTTGGGGACCTCTGCTCTGGCGGCTGCCTATAACATAATGTACAGTCAAACTGGCCAGAAGAATGGATACCTTCAGCCATATTTATGTATTTATATCTAACTCAGAGTGAGGAAAACAAGTTATTATAGTAATTCTAGCATCTCTCCAATCCACTATGATCCTTCTTAGATCACAAGAGAAAGAGAGCTTGATGATCTCAGCCAAGCACCTAAACAAACAGCTGGGCTCCTTTCAAAACTCTCATGCAACATGGCACAAATCAGCATTATCACTTTTTACGGAGTAACAACTTTCACTCTGCACAAGACCTGGACTACATTAAGGTTAAGCTTTAGGACTGATCTGGAAGTTTGTACAATGACTGCCCATGCTATGCCTACTGTTAGTCAATGCTCTGAGTCACCCACTTTCATGAGAAGTACACTTCTCACACAAAAAAAACACCATACTTCAATATTTTGGTGTATGCATCACAAAACTGCCAGTCACTGAATTCATCTATCAAAATTCCTCATGACAAGGGTGAGAGGAGATAGTTCAGACATTTTTCTCCAAGCTTTGTATTCTTTGAATATTTGTATTCCACATGTGATGAAAAGCAAACAAGAGGTTGATATTGTCTTACCTGATCTGCTTGCCCTCTCGAACATCATACAAAGAAAAGAAGACATCTGTGTCTTCCCCAATAGTATTATAGGTGAAGCTCTTTAGACTGATGAAGAAGTGGTGAGGCACTGGCATACGGCAAGCCTCTCCATGACGCTGACGAATTGTATCCACCTGATTTTTAAAAATCAAAAACAAGTATTATTTTCTTCACAAATAAGGTGTACATAACTCACATGGCAGAGTCATAACTCAGTTCTTCCTTCTCCATGGAGTAGAAGTTTAGCCTCATGAATTAGGTGCTACATCAGAGACATATGGCAGATGTGTTTTCAGTTTTTCTAGTTTTAACTTATATATTTGGTTTTCATTGCAGTGGTTTTGGAAACAGCGATAAGAAGATGTGTGGTGTTACCAATCTGAAATCAACTTATCTAACCATCAAAGAGACTACATCAGTTCTGTTTCTCAGCCAGTGCTCCAGATTCCAGAAAGTACAATTCTTGTTGACTCACACTGTTAGCAGGTATTAGAATTCCAAAAAAATTGCTTCAGAAACTGCTTCTTGCTGACTTTTTATAATAGCTGCAGCTCATTAACCACCCTGGAGATGAGAGACGTGGAACTGGTTATGTGAGATTGTGGGGAGGGAGGGATTTGAGGTCTAAAATAGAGAGATCTCTTTTAGGAAACTCTAGGAACAATTTAGGGAGAAAGCTTAGGCTGCGGGGTTTATCTTTTATTATCGATATTTGAGTAACCAAAAGAGCCAAATACCAAGAAGGGTGTACATTTAGGCCTAAAACCAATTACATCATTTATACCAGTGGAAAGCATATATAAAATACTACCATTCTGATTTGATAGTGTTTTATTTCTATTTTGCACTGGTGTAAATAAAAACACTATGCGCAGGTCAACAATCAATTTGAGCCAATTCTGATCAGTCAGTCTGCGATTTGAATTATTTCTTTACATTCAGATACATTATCAGAGATTTCAAAGAAAAAAAGACATCATGCTAGGGTTTTGCAGCCATCTTACCTGTGTTGTGCTTTGCTGGACACTGTGCCTACTTGATAAATGCTGTGGAGGAAAAAAGAATAAAAATATAAATTGATTATTACAGGAGAAACGTTTGCATTCACTTTATACGGCATTGGACGACTATTTTTAAAAATTAATTTTCAACCCTAAAATCCTCCTGACTGTACTCTCTTCTCTCTATGTATTCCTCTAATTGTTACTGTGTCCTTTATCATAAACATGCTAGACATTTCTGAGATCACAGCAGACTGATTTTTCAGTTTACTTTTGTAATTCAGAATGATTTTCTTTTATTTGTGTTATTCATTAAGACATATACCAATACTACTAGCTTTATCTGAAAACCCTTTTATACCTAACCGAGATAATTTACGGGTGGTGTTGCCTTAACTTTGAGTGTAAAAGGCTCTCACAGACTTGATAGCATTTAAAATGGTCTTTGTATGTCATTTAAAAAGGCCCTTTTTCTTTTTCTTACACTGGGTAATTTAAGGTATCCAAATGCAGGAGTACCCTACTGTTATTAATCGCCATCTAGTATGTGTTATCCTAAGGACAGATACAGTTGTTTAATCATCCACAGAGATGGAAGCCTAGAAAGAAGGTGATTTTGTTTGATACTTTCTGTGTTCAAATTTTGCACAGATCTGGACTGTGTGATACAAAATGAAATTCCAGTAAACATCTGAAGACATTTTCACTAATATCAAATAGTCAACACCTGTACAAAAATATCTGTAGTAAGAGCAACATCCGATGAAGTGAGCTGTAGCTCACGAAAGCTTATGCTCAAATAAATTTGTTAGTCTCTAAAGTGCCACAAGTACTCCTTTTCTTTTATCTCTGAAACTGTAACTCAAAAGATGATCCTGTTTTTCATGCTAAACGGTAACATTATAATCAGAAAATGGACGGCAAGTCTCTAACTGTACCTGTTTAATCTCCAGAGATTTAAATATTAATCTGAATCTAAACTGAGGTTTCAAAGGTTTGTTTTTTTAATGTCTTGTTAACGATTTTGCCATGCCTTGTTATGTACATTCATTTAAACTTTAGTATTTAAAAAATGAAATATCTTGTCAACATGATCAACAGAATAGCTTACGTCCTTTTCCCTCTCTTCTTACCCTACCCTTTTCAGACATGTTTAAGATACTGTTGTTCTGACAAACCTGAACACACTACCTAGCAGGACCTGCATAATTTGTTGTCAACATGGCAGCAGTTGCACGAACAGAAATTCAACAAACCAAGAGCTTCAGCAACAGCATCTCCAAACCATGGCATTCTTATGAGTCTTGCAGTCAGAAAAAATGAATAAAAACAGAGGAAAAAGGCCATTTTATTTTGGGGATTGAAATATATTCTATATAAAAGAATAAGCTCTACAAGGGACTGAAATTAAATAATACAATTGGAGGTCAATGAATTTGCATTTTAACAGTAGTGGGCTGAATATCCTTTTTGCATCTTTGGCTGGCCAGGAGACTGGATTTCATGACAGTCCATACTTTTGATGCTTCAGGGCTCCACTAATGCAATACTCTCTACTTTGGGCTGACCCTGACAGGCATCCAAAAACAATACAGATTTAATGTGTGCTTGCCATTCATGGAAGTGAATCCATGGACAAGGAGATGAGAGTTTTGTTGTTACTTCCTGAAAAAATGGATATACTTCTAAATCTATGCAGTCGGGCAAAGGTACAATGGGGTTATAAGTATAAGCCTCAGATAGCTCTGAGGAAGAACACTGTTCAGCCAGTGGGCCACTGTATTGATGATCTGATAGGACACAGCAATGACCTACAAAAAAAGTGCAAATGAGTAAGCCACTGCTGCATGCCTCAGATGCACTAAGAGGCACAAGCGGTTAAATCCATAAAGGGATTTAGGCACCTAAGTGTCTGCTGGTAAAATCCCCTTAAACCTGCCACTGGGCATGTGCACAGCAATCTCAGTCCTGTGCCCAGTTGGGATCCTCAAACTAGGCATTCTCTCTCCTATCTTGCTTGCAGGGACTGATCTGGCAGGCATTCTCAGAGGTCGCCTAACAGATCAGATCCCACGCAAAACTTATCTAGAGGAGGTGGTGGTGGTGATGTTGCTTCCACCTTCTAACGTTTGGCCCAATGGTTAGAGCACGCCCCACAGACATAGGAGACCTGGGCTCAACTGCTCCCCTTCCACCCCGGATAGTCTAGGCTGGGTCTCTCTCCAGCTCTCCTGTAGAAGCCACTCTACTCTGTATAAATAATTAAGTATTTATTGGGCCAGAGAAAGAGTAAGAATGACTCTTTAACCCAGTGGCTAGGGCATTCACCCAGTATGTGGGAGACCTAAGTTTGAGTTCCCCTTCCAATCTTGTCCCACAACCCAGGTGAATGATTTAACTACTGGGCTAAAAAGGGCAGCCCCACCACCTTCTTTTTGCAAGAAAGGACTTAGGTGCCTAACTCCAGGAGAGGGTTCATGGCTGTGAATCTCGAAAAAAAATAGGCATTTCCCTCAGACCTGGACTTAGGCGCCTAAGTTCCTTTGAAGCTTAGGTCATACCAGGGCTTAGGTCTTCAGCATTTCATATTAGTTCGTTTAGACATCTCCCCACTCAACTTGCTGGCATTTCTGGATCCCATTCTTAGGTACTTAACTCTCCCCAGGAGTTATACAGGGTACCTGGTTCAGTGTTATAAATTCCATTAGATAGCAGGGTGACTAAAATTTAGGCACTGCAATGCATTGCCGCTTAGCCTAAGTCCTCTTTTAGGATCTAGCCCAAGGCCTTTTATCTTCTTTAACCACCAGAGAATTGAAGCAATAGCCTACTAATGCACACCCACTACTATTTCTGACTCACCATAGCTTACTGCTACATTATAATGACTAATAGGGCTATTAGAGTATTGTTTATTAATCTTATACTTCATTATTTTTGAACACCCTTCCTAAAGTTTTGTGGGGGGGTTTATGCAGTGTATCCTTCAACCGTGAAAAATGATAGTTTCAATCCTCATTTTGAATATATTTATTGTTTGTTTATTTTTCTAACCCACTCTCTCTTTTAAAAAGTTGTTCCCTGAACTGTTTGTATCCTCTTCTCCTCTTCCCACTCCATCCCTACCCCCAGAAGTAGGGAACAGGTGTTTTCAGTGAGTTTCAATAATGAGGCGTCAATGTGCCTATAGGGAGTTTGGTATACGACTATGGAATCATCAAAAAAGTCCAAACAGCACATTAAAATTTGCATTTGGACTAACAGTGTTCCTACCTATACACTACAAATATTTTGTACTCAGCTGTCAAAACAGTCTCTCCCCACCATCAACCTCACAGATCACCATAGCACACAGATGACCTGCAAAAAATGACATGAAATGGAAGATGGCTAGAATTTGGCACATAATATCCTTATCTGAGTCTCACTTCTATAAAACATTTTTAATCTTATGTTGTGGCTGTGATGGAGGCAAAGATGAGGTTTTTTGCCTCCCTCAGGGCATCTACAAAGCCCCAGTCAGTAGCGTTCTACGTGATGAGCATCCACACTGTGCCTACTTGCATGCAAAGTCAAAATGCTTCACATTGTGGGGAATTTTTAGTGTGTACAAGCCATTTTCATTTCTATTATATATTTACAAATATTTTTTAAAAAGCTAAGAGAGCTTTCCATTTCTCTATAACAGCTGTATAAAAGCGCCAAGCTCAACTCTCTTTGAACTCCTTATGTATCTTGCTGTTTTGACATCAAATGCTATGTTCATTGCAAGTCTATTTCTAGTTTCTCTCCACTTCAAAACTCCCCTCAAAACTAGTGTATTTGTAAGAAATCCTGATATATTACTTATCTTAATTTAAAAATAAAATAGTTCAATTTAAAGACAAACAGCTGAGGCCTGGAAGAAACATGGGCAGTAGTTCTGTCGTCTGCCCATCTACAGCACTCACCCTGTAGGCACTTCAGAATGATGCATAAAAAAATGACCAATTAATCAAAAGGAAGGCTAAACAAATGTTTGGAGGCTAGATTTAAACCCTTCTAAAGATCTGCAGATATCTCCAGAGAGGTGTGTCCTGTTTATTTCTTTCCTGTGCCCATTCTTGCTAAATAACAGTGTCCCACTGTTACTGCTGTGCTGCTGGGCCTATACCACTGACCGATGTAGATTAAATCCAGTGGCAATTCCAACTGCAAGCTGATTTACAGGAAGCCCCGTGGAATAGTTTAACAACTCAGAATACATTTCCGCACAATGTTATACAGGTTAAAAATGATGTACATACCAAAAAATACTATTCAATTATATCATTTTTTAAAAAATCATTCACATTTTCATATGGAAAGGGTAATTTGTTTTTCTTAAAAAACAACATCAATTTTAGATAAATTTTGTTCATGTTAAGGCACATTGTTCAGCTTCATAATCAGCAACCTGAAGGAGAAAAATTCACAAGGCCTAAGATAAAGTGATTCTGATAAGAGAGGAGATGAAAAAGAAAAGTTATTTACCTGTATAATAACTGGAGTTTATTTTCGATGTGGGGTTCCCTATCTGTATTCTATTAGAAGACTGCATGTACTCCATGTGCCCAAGACTGGAAAATTTCTGCTACTAGACTCCATTGGTCCACAGCTGCACTCTTCTCCTTGTGCTCTGACCTCCTTGTGCTCTGAGGGCATAAGGGGCAGTGTGGACTGACTGCCTCTCTTGTTCCCTTTCTACTACAAATAGCCATAGGCCAGGGCTCTGCAGTAGAGGGGAAGGAAGGTGGATACTGGAATACAGATAGGGACCACGTATCTCAAAGAACTCCAGTTATTGTTCAAGGTAAGTAACCTTTCTTCTTCGAGTGATGGTCCCTATGTGTATCCACTCAAGGTGACTCACAAACAGTATTCGTTGAGGAGGATAGGTTGGTCTGCATCTGCTCTACACCAGTTGGAGGACTGCTCTGCTGACTACGTAGAAGATTGTACAAGAGCATAATGGTTCACAAAAGTGTGAACAGAGCTGCTCTACAGATCTCCAGAAGAGGGACATC